GAAGGAAGGAATCAAGAAAGAAGGTATCTCCTAATCCCTCTCTCTGCTATTCTTAATCTCACCCCTGCTGTGGTAGCCAGGCAAAAACCCTGGCACCTCTATTACCTGGTTCAAGCTACGAACTGAGAAGCCAAGGGCCTCCAACCCTAGGCGCCCAGGCCCTTGACAACTTGGTATCAAAGCTAGCCGGTGATCTTCCACCTCCGCCCCACACTCCAATCCAGCAGCCACCTCGCCATCAACCCCTGCCTCACCCACCGCCTCAGCAGCCTCCACTGCCTTGCCAATGGCTGAGCCGTCCACCGCTGACCTGGCCAAGATGATCCAGGCCCTCACCACCACCATGAACGCCACCATCAACGACCTTCAACAGCAGGTCGTCGCTCTTCAGCAGGCACCGGCATTCTCTGGCTTAGGCTCACGAGGCTCGGGCCACGGTGACCGCCCACCTTGGTTCTAGAAGCTGGACTTCCCCAAGTTCAATGGGAAATCTAATCCGTTGGCCTTCCTCAACCGATGTGAGTCCTATTTTCATCAACAGCGTATTGCAGCCGAGGAGCAAGTTTGGATGGCGTCATACAACCTTGAAGATGGCGCCCAGATGTGGTTCCTCCAAGTGCAATAGGACAAGGGCACACCGTCTTAGCGCTGCTTCTCCGAGCTCCTCAACCTCCGCTTTGGGCCGCCAATCCACTCCAACCCCCTTGGTGAGCTGATGGCGTGCAAGCGGACGTGCTCGGTAGCAGAGTATTAGACCCGCTTTGAGGCGCTGCTTCCTCACATCGGCACGCTCACGGAGGCACAGCGCGTACAAGCGTTCATGGCAGGACTGCAGCCGCCGCTCAGCCTCGACGTGGAAGTCCACAACCCGCAGTCCCTCATCATCGCCATGAGCCTCGCGCGCAAGCTGGAGCTGCGCGAGCAGTACTACACCACTGTTCTAGCTTCGCTTATGCCACGGCAGACCACGCGCGGCCTCTTGATAGGGCCACCACCATAGCTAGCCCTGCCAGCACCCCCACCCCATACAGCAGCCCCTTCCCTCACCATCGAAGGCCGCCAAGTGAAGAGCTTGTCCCAGTCAAAGATGGAGGAGCGACAACGATTGGGCCTCTGTTTCAACTGCAACAAGAAATTTGGCAGGGGTCACAACCGCGTCTGCAAGCACATCTTCCTCCTCAATCTAGCCGAGGCCGATGACGATGACGACTCTGAGCAGACCGACGCTGCGGTTGACAGCCCGCTCATCTCACTGCTGTCCATGGCAAGCGTCCGCTCCAGCGAGACCATGCAGGTCCGCATCTAGCTGGGCGGGGCGTCCTTACTGGCCCTGCTAGACTCAGGCTCCACCCACAACTTTGTGTCCGAGGAAGTAGCGGCACGCACCTCCCTCAGGCTTCAACCCCACGACAACATGAAGGTCACGGTGGCAAATGGGGAACGGGTGCCGTGCCCTGGCGTATACCGTGCAGTTCCCTTCTCCATCGCCGATGAACCGTTCTCCACCGACTTCTTCGCACTACCGTTGGCTGGTTATGACGTCATCCTCGGCACCGAGTGGCTGGCCTCCCTTGGCCCGATTCTCTAGGATCTCGGCGCCCTCACCATGTCCTTCTGGCATCGAGATCACCAGGTGTGCTGGACGGGCATCGCCAGGGGCACCGGCCCTTCTCTCCGAGCATGCAGCGGGGCTGACCTCTTACCAGCCCTGCTAGACGAGTTCACCGGGGTCTTCACCGAGCTGACCGACATGCCTCCGCCTCGCTCCTGGGATCACTACATCAACCTTATCCCGGGGTCCTTGCCGGTGGTAGTTAGGCCATACCGCTACCCCGCTTCACACAAAGACGAGCTGGAGCGCCAATGCACCACTATGCTGGAACAGGGGCTTATCCAGCATAGCACATCGGCGTTCTCCTCCCCGGTCTTGCTGGTCAAGAAGGCCGATGGGACATGGCGTTTCTGCGTCGACTACTGGGCCCTCAACGCTATTACAGTCAAGGATGCCTACCCCATTCCAGTGATCGATGAGCTCTTGGATGAGCTAAATGGCGCCCGGTTCTTCACCAAGTTAGACCTCCGCTCTGGCTATCATCAGGTTCACATGAACCCAGCCGACGTGGAGAAGACGGCGTTCATAACCCATGATGGGCTCTATGAGTTCCTCGTCATGCCGTTCGGGCTATGCAACGCCCCAGCAACATTCCAAGCATTGATGAACGACGTTCTCCGCCCTTTCCTACGCCGCTTCGTCCTCGTCTTCTTCGATGACATACTCATCTACATCGCCTCCCTGGCTGAACAACTTCGCCATGTGCGCGTTGTCCTCACTGTGCTGCATCAACATCGGTTGTTCATCAAAAGATCCAAGTGTGCCTTCAGTGTTGACTCCATCGCGTACCTGGGGCACATCATTTTCGCACAAGGGGTGGCCATGGATCCTGATAAAGTCCAGGCCGTCGCTGATTGGCCGCAGCCCCGATCGGTGCTCACGGTCCGAGGTTTCCTTGGGCTTGCGGGGTACTACCGCAAGTTCGTCAAGGATTTTGGCGCCATAGTCACACCCTTGATGGCCCTATTGAAGAAGGAGGGTTCACCTAGAATGAGGCATCAGTCGCAACTTTCGTCGCCCTCAAGACAGCCATCACAACAGCACCGGTACTAGCCCTGCCCGACTTCGAGCAGCTCGTTCATCGTGGAGTGCGACGCTTCGACACATGGCTTTGGGGCCATTCTCCTTCAAGATCAGCACCCCATCGCCTTCTTCAGCCGCCTGCTGCCCCTCGACATCAATCCTTGGCGGCATATGAGCGAGAGCTGATTGGTTTCATGCTGGCCATTCGCCACTAGAGGCCATACCTTTGGGGTCGCCGCTTCCTGGTCCGTACTGACCATTTCAGCCTCAAATTCCTTTTGGGTCAGCGGCTAGCCACCATTCCCCAGCACCATTGGGTGGGCAAGCTGCTGGGCTTCGACTTTTCCGTGGAATACAAGGCGGGCAGCACCAATACGGTGGTCGACGCCCTATACCGCCATGACACGGAGGAGGCAGCGATCTTGGCGCTCTTGGGACCACGTTTTGACTTCATCGAGCGCCTACGACAAGCTAATCTTCAGGACCCCGCGCTGGTCGCCATCAAGGAGGAGATCAGCTCCTCCCAGCGTGGCTCCCTAGTCCCTCATCGATGGGCTAGTCGTGTTCCAGGGGCACCTCTACATCCCGCCTGAGCGCCCCCCTTCTCCAAGAACTCCTCACTGCTATTCACGATGACGGCCATGAAGGAGTCCAACGCACACTCCAGCGCCTCCGTCGTGACTTCCACTCGCCCAACCTGTGTGCTGTGGTCCAGGACTATGTGCGCGCATGCGCCACCTGTCAACACTACAAGTCCGAGCACCTGCACCCAGCAGGACCTTCTCCTTCCCCTGCCGATGCCAACAGCAGTTTGGGTGGACATCGGGATGGATTTCATCGATGCTTTGCCGCGCGTGGGAGGCAAATCCGTCATCCTCACCATTGTTGATCGGTTCAGTAAATACTGCCACTTTATTCCACTGGCCCATCCTTACTCCGCGGAGTCTGTGGCGCAGGCTTTCTTCTCCGACATCGTGCGCCTGCACGGTATTCCGTCAGTCCATTGTCTCGGACAGGGACCCCGCGTTCACCTCCATCTTCTGGAAAGAGAGCTGCGCCTCGCCAGAGTCAAGCTACACATGACGACGGCATTCCACCCACAGTCTGATGGCCAGACCGAAGCAGCCAACAAGGTGATCATCATGTACTTGCGCTGCCTGACTGGTGATCGTCCCCGTCAGTGGCTCTGGCTGCCATGGGCCGAATATATCTACAACACCGCTTTTCAGTCCGCGCTCAAGACCACGCCATTTCATCTCGTCTACGGCCGTAAGCCACCCTCCATCCGATCCTATGAGCCTGGTGAAACTAGGGTGGCTGCGGTGGCCAAGACCATGGCTGAACGCGATGACATGCTTGCTGATGCCCGGGCCCGGCTAGAGCAAGCTCAGGCAGTCTACAAGCGGTTCTACGACAAGCATCACAACGACGTTCAGTACAGCGTGGGTGATTGGGTCTGGCTTCGTCTTCGCCATCGCGCCCCGCCCTCCCTCCACGGCGTCACCAAAGGGAAGCTGCGACCCCGGTACTATGGGCCGTACCGCATCTCTGCCATCATCAACAACGTCGCCTACCGCCTCGAGCTCCCTCCCCACGCCCGGCTGCACGATGTCTTCCACGTCGGGCTCCTGAAGAAGTTCGTGGGTACTCCCCCGGCCATTCCCTCGGCTCTGCCTCCTATGCATCATGGCGCCACACAGCCGGTGCCAGAACGCGCCTCACGCACCAGGCTGGCCCGCGGCGTCCGCCAAGTACTGATACATTGGCAAGGCGAGCCCTCAGCCTCCGCCACCTGGGAGGACATCGACAACTTCACCGAGCGTTACCCAAACTTCCAGCTCGAGGACAAGCTGCTCGTCGAGGGGGGGAGAGATGTCATGTGGGGCCAACAGTACAGCCGTCGGCCTCGGACACGAGGTGCAGCCGAGGTAGTCCCCAAGGGGACGCATGGCCTGGCAGAACCTCAGGAGGTTTAGGCGGCTGGAGGGGCTGCAGTTTCTAAGACAATTAAGTAGTAGTTGAAGAGTAAGGAATTAATTAGCCAGCTAGTAGTTAATGGCTGGCACAAGTAGCAATGGAGCAGAGCTCCTATATGTATCCTGTACCCGTTGAAGGAAGGAATCAAGAAAGAAGTTATCTCCTAATCCCTCTCTCTGCTATTCTTAATCTCACCTCTGCTGTGGTAGCCAGGCAAAAACCCTGACACCTCCATTACCTGGTTCAAGCTACGAACTGAGAAGCCAAGGGCCTCCAACCCTAGGCACCCAGGCCCTTGACAAAAGGTATGGTCTTCTTTAGTTCAGAAGTATTCTCTTGGTGAAAATGTTGACACAGCAGTGTCATGTTTCCATGAAATGCTGGAAAGAAGTGGCAACGAGAATGTGGGTTCTGCCCTTGAGGCGCTGGTTTCTGGATTATGTAAGAAGAAAGGGGCAAAGGAAGCATTCAAAGTTCTGAAGAACCTGGTGTCTGAAAAGAATGTAGTTCCTTGGCAGACAACCTACAAGTATTTGATGCACAAGTTGATCCGCCAAGGGCATCTCAAACAAGCATTTGAAGTGCTAGGTTTGATGAAAAGTCACGGCTATCCATCATTTATTGATCCTTGTATCACACATATTTCAAAGTCCGGGACAGTGGATGATGCCCTGGGCCTGCTGAATGTGACATCATCAAAAGGGTTGCCATCAAGAACAGCTCATGTGCGCTTGTTTCAAGCTTTGTTGAAAGAAGATAGGCATGAAGTTGCACAGCAGCTGCTTTCCCAGTCTCCTGCTAGCATCCAGAACCATGCTGATGTTCGTGATATTTTCAGTAGGATTAAGATGGAAGAGCCCATTCCAGCGGCATTGGCAGATGGCTGATACGTGACCTAGTTCAGCTTTTGATGGCCATATTTTGAATGACATTCTGAATTTGCCCCTTCGGATGTTGTAATAGTGCTTTGAGCTGAGATCAGAAGTCTGTATGTTATAAACTTCTTTGCTGAATTGTTTGACTACTATTCTCCAAAGAAATAAGTTACACTTTTTAAATATTTTTTGTCGCTTTTTTTTTTTGAAACAAACGCTTCGTTATATTTGATCCACTGTATTTGCATACCTTCTGTTGGCAGTTAGCTGTCGTGTGAATCAATAGCTTGTACGTAGCTTTTTGCTGCTTTGTTATTCAAAGATACAAGTTTGGTTCTCATCCAATTTAACATGCACGTATACAATATTTATCTGGATAGTGTATAATAAGTGCATGGTAAAACTGTGTATCTAAAAAAAATCAAAATGTCATATCATTTGGAGTTTTGGACTGAGGGAGTATGACATTAGTATCCGATGATTTCAGGTCGTTTTAACTCTGGCCGATGTGGGATGTAACGATATATCTGGACAGTGAATTAGGGCCTGTTTAGACACATGGCTAGTTACTAGTTAGAGCTAGAAAATTAGCCTAAATTGAGTAGCTAGTTGGCTAACAACAAGTTAAAATTTTGGCTAAAAATTAGTCCATCTAATCCTTTCCTTCACTACTATGCTTTCTCCAAATCTCACAATCGAAATCATGCAATCTGAGCGTCAGCGTGAAGTAAGCGTCGACATGTACAGGCCTAGCCTGTCGATCCACAGGAAAGCCCTCTTGGCACGGCTCATCCAAAATGGCTTTCACCGGTGAAGCCAAGCCAAAGCCGATGAAGCCACAAAAACTGGTTTTTCCGGCTTCTAGTTCATTTTAACCCCGGCTTACAAAAAAGTTTCACGCTACAGTGCCTCAATTTGCGTAAAATAGATGAAGTCGAAGCCGGCATAAACCGTGCCAAAGAGGCCCAAAGTTAGGAACCCACTCGGTTTCGGTTTCAAATTCGGAGGGAGAGATGTATAAAAGGAAACCCACCGTGGCGGCACTGTGGCACCGAACTGACTGCATCCACTCCCGCAAGGCACGTGAAGAAACGACACGGTCGCAGCCTCCGCCGCAAGGAACGAGGCGCGCGGAAGAGGGCGATCGACAGCCGATGGCGGTGCCGGATGAGGTGGCGGTCAGCGACGGCCGGGCGGTGGCGATGAAGAAGTCGGCGTGGACCAAGGAGGAGGACGCGGTGCTGCGGGAGCAGGTCCGGCTGCACGGCCCGCAGAACACTACGTCAGAATTGATTTCTAGGGGCGGCTAATGGGTATTTGTAGGCACGGTTCGGCCAGCCGCCCCTATCATACCGTCTCTATAAATCATGTATTTGTAAAGGCGGTTCCCAGACCGCCCCTACAAATCGATTTGTAGGGACCGCTGGTAACATCAGCCGCCCCTATCAAATCGATTTGCAGGGGCGGCTACAATACCAGCCGCCCATATAGTACCTATTTATAGGGGCAGCTACAGTATCAATCGCCCCTACAAATCGATTTTCCGCTAAAAAAATAAATTACCAACACGTGCCGAGGCACTGGTACAGATGAAGGGCCTGGCTGTTGCTAGAAAAATTGTCAAAATAAACAATGAGTGCAATAATTTTACATTGCCTTAAATGGAAAACGACACAAAACACTCATTAACTTCAGATGAGGCAAAATTCTGCTGGTCAACCCTCAAAAGTAGCATACACTTGAGCAAGAAAAAGTTCAAATACATAGGGGTGAGGGGCTACATGTTCAGACATGCCACAATATATCCAACATTACATTTCTTTTATTCAAACACAGCACCAAAACAAGGGAAACCAAATATTTGCTATTTTGTAGTCTTAATGGCACAAGGGCGTGCAAGTGAGACAGGTGATAAGTTCAAAAATTCCAACATAATGTACCAAATACTTGCTGCAACGAACTGGGCACTCAAAACTACAAACCACTAAGAAGCTTCTCCAAGCACATCTGGCCTATAGGGTTGTTCACGTACATGTGATGCTAAAAAAAGGATTTCCTGAATCGCCGGATCCGAGCCACGACAGCCAGATCCGAGACCCGCCGCTGCCGTGCTGTTGCCGGAAGAGGTGCCCGTCGCCACCGCCGTGCCATTGTCGGAAGAGGCGCCGCCGCCACCACCGTCGTGCCGTGGTCGAAAGAGACGCCCGCCGCCGGATCTGCTGCTGCTGGCACTGAGGAGAAGCGCCGCTGGGGCCGGCCGGAGGGGGAGGTGGAGGGTGTCGTTCGAAGGTGGATGTGGAGGTGGAGGGCGCCGCCGGAGGTGGAGGTGGAGGTGGATCTGCTGTAGCCAGAGGGGAAGGGCGCAGCTCGGGGTGGGGAAGAGCGTCGGTGGTGCTGAGGGAGAGGGAGAAGGAGAAGGGGCACCGCTCTGGCGTACGCGAGAAGAGAGAGAGGAGTGCGGCGTACGAGAGCTAGAGAGGTCCTCGTCTAAAATATTGGAACGGGGTGTGAGGGTGTGCTGATGTTAGGTGGGGCCAAGGTGTCATCAGTTCAGAGAAAACACAAATCGCATGAATGGTGGACATTGATCCATGTGGCCTTCGATCCAGCCGTTCAGGATGTCCACGTCAGCGATCCGTGGTTTCGATCTGGTCTTCATGCACAAGTGCCAAGGCAAGAAGGGGACAGCTGCGTGCGCGGATGCGTGCGTTCACTGGAGGGGCAGCGTGGTTACAGGGAAGCAGGGCGGATCTAGGTGTGGTTTCGATCTCTATGGCCATTTATGTGGCGTCCAGCAGCCTTCAGTCTTAGTCACGGGCAACCAATGCCCACATGAGGAGAGGAGGCACCCACGGACCTCCACGGATCAGAAGCACAGCTGCCTTTGCAGTTCCTGACAAAACATGAGACATACTGGCTAGGAGCACAGCCGCGTACAGTTGATAGTGACACATAGTTCCTGTACCCACGGGCCTCCACGGATCAGAAGCTCCAGACATGAGACATGCAGTTCCAGTTCCTGTACTGGTTGCAGTTTTTTTTATACGTGGGTCATTTGTAGAGGCGTTGGTGATTGAGCCGCCTCTATAAATAGCAACACCGGAGGCGGCTGGTGAGTGAGCCGCCCCTACAAATCCGACCCATTTGTAGGGCGGCATCGTATCACCAGCCGCCCCAACTATTACATTTGTAGGGGTGGCTGGTCTCGTGGCTCCCAAGCACGCCACTGTAGGGGCGGCTCCATCATCAGCCGCCCCTACAAAGAATTTCTTCCGTTGCTATAAACCGTTTTTCACGTAGTGGAACTGGGCGACCATCAGCGAGGCGCTGGCCGGGCACAACCCCAAGTCATGCCGCCTCTGGTGGTGCCAGCACCTGAGGACGAGAGGATCATCGCGCTCTACCGCCTGTACCCCAACAAGTGGGCCACCATCGCGGGCTTCCTCCCGGGCCGCACCGACAACGCTGTCAAGAACCGCTGGCACTCCGTCCTTAGCAAGGTGTACCACCACCACCAGCGGCGGCGGCGGGCGGGTGCACCCATCCACAACCGCCTCCCCGACGGGACGCTAGCTCTATTTCCTTTGGCGCCGGGGGATGTTGTCGGCAGAGGCATCACCGTCCCAGTGCTCCGCCACCCACCGACCGGGGTTGATCTGAGCGACGAGTGCCTGAAGCTGTTTCTACTGGTGCTAGGGGATCTCGTCAGGGGCAACAATGCCGGCGAGGCGGCGGCGGTAGCCGAATTTTTTTATTTTTTAGCCCTTTTTTTGAAATTTTTTCCCAAATATGTCCATAGAGTTATGATTTCAAAATCTATATCCTTAACTCGGCGCCATCGTTGGTGGCGCCGAGCTTAAACGTCTCGACGCCATAGATTTTGGTGCCTAGGTCGAGGCCACGTCGGTGGCGTGGACACTAACATGGCAGCCAGCTCAGCGCCATGGATCTTGGCGCGGGTGCCGAGCTTGGCGCCGTGATTATTGGCGCCAAGCCATGTCTTACGTATGGGACCTCCCTTCCTTTCTGTCTTTCTCTCTCTACCGCTCCCGAGCCACCATTGCCGCTGTCACACCGCCACGCTTGCCACCAAGCCGCTGTTCTGTTGTTGCCCCCGCCGTCCCATACGCCAGGCCACCACCGCGCCCGCCGCCCGCGTGCCCATCCCACCTGGCCCCATCCCACTCACGCACCATCCTCACTACGGCGCCAGCGCCCGGCCGCATGCCCGCCACCTCCCTCACCTCCGGCCCGCCCCCTGCGGCGCCCATTGCGCCACCATCTGTTTGGCTCATTGCCCTCACCCACGCCCGGCGTTCGCTGTGACTCCATCCTAGGGCCATCGATACCGGTGTTCGCTGCGACTCCATCGACGTCCACGACCCCATCCACATTCCTATCGCCGGCCATCCTAGGGCCGAGGGCGGTGGCCTTTGGCAAGGGCCGAGGGGAGGGGGTGTTGTCCGCCTAGAAGGCCACAGCAGCCGCCATGCCCGAACAGTTCGGATAGGGTTGTTTGCCTATAGTGTCGCCTGCTCAAGCTCTTGAACTCGTCGGACAGGTAAAAATTGTGAATATACAATATAGATACTTAGTTACCTTTGATTGTAGTGTAGTAGTTCGATTATTTGTTATTTACTAGTTAATGTGATGACTCAGGTAGTTGATTTAGTTAGTGATCTAGTGAGATAGATATGTAGATAGATAGAAACATAGATACATAGGTACATAGATATAGTTAGATAGCTACTTAGATAGGTAGTTATATATTTAGTTAACTAAATAGGATCTAGCTATTTAGTGAGTACATTGTATATATATACATAGTTATTATGTTATTTACTTAGTTTGTAGTTAGAAAGCACTTGTTAGGTACTATCTATCGTCTAATTTGGACTAAATAACATGTGTTTTGTTATGTGTTTGAACTAGATGGACAACCTAGTGACCATATATCATGGAGGCACCGTTAAAAGCGATCGCTATAGATATCTTGAGTTTGTTGACATGCA